TGCGTTTTCTGAATGCACTAGCTTCTGCCACTGCTCCCTCCGGTTATAATTTTGGCACTAGTTGGAGGGCGTGTCTTCAGTTGTGCGATTTCTACACTTACCATAACTATGTTCCATACTCCGAAAATCGGCCATTGCGATTCATACTAAGTATGTTATGAACAACTTCAATTTACATTATGTTGGCATGATATATTAAAAACATTTTTTATGTAAATTATTTCACACTGTTTGAGGTGTACGGCGAGCAGCTTCCTTTGGAAGGCGCCTATGACCGCAGAAAGGCACTGATTTACAATGTTAGCGACAAGATTAAAGAAAGGACGTTTGGAATTCGGCCAAAGGTCAGTATTTAACCGTCCTTGCTAAGGCTCAATTATTTTTCCATGCGATGATCAAAATTTTATAGATGCGCCGAACTTCGCTCGAAGGGGTTGTTCAGAAGTCAACACTGTCACAAGCAAGTCAGCGAAAACACTCGACATCAGATAAGCAAAGCAGCATTGAAATGAAAGTAAGAAATGAAACTACCATTTTTGATTGGGGTTGCATTAAAGGAAATGTTCTTCGTTACGTTTAGGACAAAAATGGTGAAAGACGACTGAGCGAGAAGCGAAAAGTTGATAAAGATCGAAACAGTCACAAATTGATGCTGAAATACGTTCGACTCCAGGTGGATACGAGTTTTTTGTTGTGGACAGCTCTTAAAACGCATTCGTAGGCGAGAAATCCTTGCCATTCGCTATTTTCGTGCTTCCTCAAATCGTCCTTGTACGTAACGGATAGAGATTGTCTCGACATCTTGCACGCAGCATGGGAATTGATGCAGAGTTGTGACAGTCATCTGGCTGCTTGTGCCGGTGAGCATTATAATTATTAATTTAGATTAACAACCGTCGAGAATTTGTTTACCCTAATACTGCCATAGAGAAGGACTGTAGAAATCTTTTCACCGCTTATGTGAATAAGTTGAGCCGACGTCTTGCCCTTCGAAACCGTAATCGGTATTTTAAACAGGCCAAGGTTCTGTGATAGAGTGGGGCCATAGAGAAGTGATGCTGGATGCCTCTCCAGTAGGTTGAGACTGTAGGACTGTAGTTGCCCACCACTCGTGCGTGATATCTGTCTGAAACTAAAACCTCGCAGAGCAGTCCATTTTATTTCAATCCGTTGGGTTAAATGAAGGCTGAAGAGTCTTCGACAGTAGTTCACGAGGGTTGACACCCAAATAGATCATCGAACATCCACACGCCAAAATGTGCTCAGAAAAGAAGAAACGTGAGGAAACATGCGCATGCTGCGTGGTCGGCCTAAACTACCCTTATAACTTTGTGAACTACGGGGTAAAGTTCCGTTGGCAAATGTTTCATTTCAGTTCCTAATACTAGATTTACACGACGAAGGAGTATCATCCCTCTCTTCTAGTCGTCTAGAGGACCTTTCAACCAGGACACTGCAGTGGTATATATACGCCTGCGGCGAATCGAATGCAAGACCACATTTCTGACTCGGGTTGAATAAGGATATTTTCTAGCTGTGACAAAGAATTTTCACAGTGCAAATATACAGACAAAATAAACTAACCCACATGTTCTGCTGTAGCCAACACAAATGGTAGCTTTGCAATTCCGTCAGAAAGTATTAAATTTCAATTGAAATCTGATACCAGAGAAATGCATGGGAAACATTCTCGTCTGTGAATACGAGGGCAAATTTGCAAGCGATCCCGGTGATGCGCTGATGAGAAAACCGAGCAGAAATATTTTTAAAAACGGCTTATTCGAGCTTCCGCCGAATGTTGTGATTTAAAACGGGTTGACATGCTGCCAGAATGCCTTAAGCGAATTTCAGTGGTGGACGCCATTACATCAGTTGGATGTCATCGAGACAAAGGTTGCGTCCAAGCTGTAGCCTAGAAGCAAAGTCTTCAGCTCGATTGCAGTACGAATGAGTTGGCATTACTGCAGAAAAGTCAGTGTACTAAGCGACAACTAATTCCTGGCAAAGTCTGATGAACTTACTCCTGAGTTTGAACGCTAAGCTGTCCCTGTTCATGTTTATCTTCATCCTTATGCTCACCTATGATCGTGAACAGTGATCCATAACTGAAAAACTTAGGCTGCTGAACTCTGGTACAAGCGGCTAAAATGGGCTTTCTGAGACGAATCGCTGGGCTCATGCGTTTCGACATGATCCGGAGTTCAGATATCCAAGAGAACCTTGGTGTAAAGGCGAAACAGTTAGTAGTTGCTTTACCGGCCGATGATTCTGCAGATGGCCCAAGGCAAGTGTTTTTACAGACTTTGCTACAGTCTCTGGATACCTTCTGACGTTGCTCAAATCCTGGCACAGGATTGGGTACCTTGGTGATATTATCTGTAGCGTTGCCTCCAGGACCCTAAAAGATGAGCGGTAAGCGAAACTGGCTGACCGACTGGGATGAATACGTTATAACATCGATTTTGTCGATTCACTTTCGAACAGTGTCAGTGTGAAGTTTAGATTGCATATATAAGACGAGGTATAATATACAGTGTGTATTGTAATATGATTAATGGAGTAATGCAAGCGCAGTCAGCAAGATCTTTAAATGAATTCCAATAGATGCTGTCCTCTACCGTCTTCGTGCTTGTTACCAAAGATCCCGCTGAATGTCGGTGAAATTAATACGCTGCTTATGCAATGAAGACATCTTCTGTCAGCTTTTGAAATTAAAGGGAATTTCATTTAATCTGCCTATAAATTATGATGACTATTATGTTGATTATCAAATTGCAGTATGATTTCACATATTTTTCATAGAAAACGAAAAATACATTAAAGCTGTGTGGTAAAAACACAGCTAGTTGAATGGCAGGTTCGAAATGATTAAGTTACTTTTTGAATTAATATTCGACCTTCATCTAACCCTGCACTAGTGACTTGTTTTAGCTTTTCACTTGAAAGTGGCAAAGTGCTTTTTCAATTTTTATGTTTGATTACGTCTAAATTTCATTTCTTCCAGCATCGACGTTCATCGTGTGCGCCGTGAAACAACCTACGGCTACCGTTGATTTACTCGTTAATCAGCTTCAGCATTACGACGTGGACTTTCGCATCTCTGCAGTGTTGCGCTTTTATACGCTCTGGCGAAATCGCTTTCATCCATGGCTCTTCATGGAAGAAGGTGCTCAAGCTGTCTTCAAGGTCTGGGTCGTTTGTTGTAAAATTTGCAATCCGTCTGTAAAACGCTTCATTCATTAAGTATTTTTCGCGAGAAAAATACTATTACATTTCATTACTGAATCTTACGTGTGCACATGCCATACTGATTGATGATTTGTTTCCTGTTGAAAACTTTCGGACTGTTGAAAAGTATCTTGGATCCGTGGCCTGCTTAAATGCCCCCTCCCAAGGAAACTAGGTGCAATGGGGCGATGTAATCTGTCTTGCAGGAGTCATTCGTTAATTGACATGCTCGGGTATAAGAACAACTTATGATGTTTATGTGAAAACAAAGCAGAGTAGGTCTTTTGTCACAGTCGTATCAAATTGTGTGTTTATTTAAATGGTAGGGTATATCAGGAACTTTTTTATCTATACTCTTACCTCTAGTATGACATGATCCTATTATTGCACACACATCTAAAAGTTGCCTTCTGTTCCGCAGTTCAAAAGCCACCTATGTGGGACATAACGGCTCGTTAATTCATGTAATATACGCCATCTCATTTTCAGGCTCCGCCTCCAAATATTGATTTTTCTCTGCCTTCGCCTCCCGTTGGGCAGATGCATGCTGTTGCGAAAGATCTGCCGTGGATGCCCCAGATCAAGACGAAACTGCAGGAACTCACCCTGAAAGCAGACACTGCCGTAAGTAAACCGCCTGTTGGCTGAAGCTTTATGATCATCATCCTTTTTACATTTAATAGATCACAACTTTTTGTATCTACGTGATTTAGCTATCAGTTTTGTGTTATACAAAGATTTTCGTCACAGTCGTCAAAGAATTTATTCATTACAAGGTTGAGTGCTGAACAGACAAGTGTTAATGCATCGGCCATGGAAGACATAACTTAACTGATTGCACATCCAGATGAAATACTATTCTCAGCATACACCAAATTTTGGTTTAAAAATATTGATGATGCGCAGTAGAGTGCTTGTGGATGCTTATCGCCTTCAAAACTGCATTTAATCGCTTGCTACCGCTTTTCCCCAGCTACTTAGAGCGAAGCAGCGTTAGAAACAGGCTCCGGCTATATGGTATTTGAGCTCTCGCAGTGACAGAGGCGTCTCGCAATGTTTTATTGTTTAAATAAATTCTGTGCTCATTTTCAACCTTTTGTTTAGTACTGACAGCTCTGTGCGGTAGTGCTCTTGTTCGAGCCGAAATCTCGAAGAAACTATACCTTTATGACCTTTATCCAATCATTTTGTACATTCATTCAACCAAATGAAGATCGCTTTTTCGATCCACTCTTAGTTGCTTCATAACTCTAATGCTAGCCTACCCATAGATTCATATTGTGGCTACAAGCAGACCTAAACACAAAACTGTTGACACCTCTCCCTAAAACAAACCTTAAGGATGCTGCCTATGTTTTGGCAAGTGGGCAGTGATTATTTGCTTACTTAAAAGGGGAAGGAGGTAAAAATTTTAAGCACAATAGCTAGTAATCAGCGGCTACAGCATGCACATTAACGCAGGGAATTTGACAAAGCAATTGAACAGGATACACTTAATCGCTTAGTTCGCTCAGTGTTATTGATAACAAGATGAGGATAATGAGGCTCATCCCATGCTCTTTAACCTTAAATAAGGTGTCAAATCTGCCAACCGGTTATGACAGATGCACTAAACATAGTCATTAATGAAATTTATTTAATATTTATGCATCCAAATAATAAACCCGACGTTGTAAAATAGAACTAAGGCTGCATACACAGCCAAGCGTTTGAACATATGTGTGAAATGCTCTCTTTCAGCAGAGCCATTATTAATGTCATGAGCAATTCCATAAGAGTTATAACTCGTTTTGATGAAGCAATTGCAGTTTTCAAGTATGGCAATAACTCTTGCCCAAACGATGGACTGGCAGTGACGTAGGAGCACCCTCTGTTAGGTGGAGACGAAAGTTGTCCGCCACTCGCCATTGGTGTCTGTCAGTAACAAAATCTGTCCAATCGTTCTACTTTTTGAATGGTTCTGGGTTAGACAGTCTGCCTCATCAAATGGACTGCAAAACAATTACTCGCCAAAAGACGCTCAAGAAGAGCGAAGATTGAAGCAGCGTCAATTTGCTTTTGTGGCACACAGACAACGTGGACAAATCGGGTGAACGATGGGGAAAGTATATGACATAATTGCACATAATGTCTATTACTGAAACAAAGTATCGTAATTATAGTTAAATTAGGCTGAAAGCAAAATCAAGCATTTTGGCTCTGACTATAAATATCTGATTTCAACTATTAAGAACAAGGTACAGAAGCAGACGCTAAGGTTTATGCATAACTTTTTCGAAACCTGAGAAAGTGTACACTGCAGTTGTTTTTTATCCGGAAAAAATCATTTCAGCACAGTATGGCTTTGTTTCAGTTGATCACCTGTAGTACCTGATACATTTTTCTTCATTTTCTTTATTGGAACCCAAAGACCTATGTGTTGTGAAGTAATTACGCATGTTGCATTCCAGATTTTCAAATAGGACGAAGTTGCGGCTGGGCAAATGAGCGAAATCTTGTATTGGGCAAGCTTTGTCCTTACTAACATGCTCCTACGTACCTAGCCATACTTTGGAAATGAAACTGTTTTAGATTTAAACGCCAGAAAAGTGAAGTAATAAATAAAAGAGTATTATACGAACGGTCGACACAAATTGCGACGATTACATTGAAATCGTTTAGAGCCAAAGCATAATGACGATGACCAAAACCCGGAGAAAACAGAAGCAAGAAATCTACCGACGGACTTTGCAACATGCGGAAGAGGCGAAATGCGCAGAAAGAATGAAGTATTTTTTGCTCTCAACGTCGGTGATTCAGCAAGCGGCCTATGAACCGGCTCTTTTCCAAATGGTCTCCTCGAACACTATGCCAACCGAGAACGAAGACGGTGAGGCGCACGTCGGCAAGCAGATTCCAGTAGCGCAGCCACTGTTCCCTTCGTGCTTGTGTTCGGTAGTGCCGCATTTTCTTCAACTGTTGGACGACGCCGGTGTGAACTCTGAGGGAACTTCTGGTACATGACTTTTTTTATACTTAATTTATTTTATTAGTTTTATTCTACTTTTATTTCTATTTCCCCCCACCTTTTCGTTTTAATTGTTGTTAGTTTAAATTGACCCTTCATTGCATCATCCTAATGTTATTTGAGGGTTTCGTTAATTGAGATAGTAGTTAGTAAGTTCTATCACGATTGATGAGATCCGTTTTATGTAATCGTTAATAGAGAGTGATTTACATGTTTAGTTTTGGAACTATTCAAATAGACGTTCAGGGCTACATTTTCATGCC